GGGGGGGTGGGGGGGGGGGGGGGGGGCTGCAGCAGGCGGCGGGTCCCGGCTTGGGCGGCGAGCTCGCAAACGGGAAGCGAAGCGCCGGAGCACTCCGGTCCCAAACCGGCGGCATTCTCGGGAACGGTTCAGGCTGCCTGGCTGGCTGGCTCCTGCGTTGGCACTGCCCGCGGTCTGCACTGCGGGTTCCCTAGAAACGGTGCTTTACCGGACCCAGGGAATTCAGTGGGACTTAACTCCGGAGTATGCATGTAAGACGCGCACGTTTTAGGAGAGAGGAGGATCGCTTCAGCTCCGGGCTAAGTCGGTGCCGTGCAAGCGACTCCAAGAGGAGCAGGCAGTGGCACCTGGAAAGAGCAGGCTGGAGACCGTCGAGGTTTGGCTGCCCCTGGGCACCCTCGGGTGACGCCTCCGCCACCCCTTCCAAGAAACTGGCCCGGAGTGCCGGGCGCTTGGGCCCCGTGTTGGGCGGAGGCGAGGAATCGGCTCCTGGGGGTTCCCCAGGGCGCCTCAACTCCTGCAAGCTCAGGCCGGCTCGGTGCGAGTCCAGCTGCCCCTTAGAGAGTGTAGAAGAAGGAGGGGGGCACCCGCTCCCCAGAATCAACGCTCCCGGTGTTACTGGACCGGAGTCTCGCTCTTCCACTGCGGCCCGTCCGAGCTGCGCTCCCGAAACCAGGATCAGCAAGACCGTTGTTGGTAATTTTGCCTCGTTTCAACACGTGCTACCTAACGCAGTTCCCGTCCACTTCAGCGACTGTTTGCACGCGGATTTTTGCCCCACAGTAAAACCCGGTTGGAAAGTGGATGGAAAGTGCGTCGTTTCGTGTGTGTGATCGCCGCCGCCGCTGATTCTTCCGCTGGTCCCTGTAGAGAGCAGTGTTCCCTCTAAGCTGAGTTAGTGTGAGTTAGCTCACTGTTTTTGAGCCTCGTCTCAGCAAGCGCTACCTAATGTAGTTCCGGTCCACTTCAGCGACTGCTTGCTCGTGGCTTTTTGCCCCACAGTAAAACCCCGTTGGAAAGTGGATGGAAAGCGCGTCGTTTCGTGGGTGTGATCGCCGCCGCCACTGATTCTTCCGCTGGTCCCTGCAGAGAGGCCCGTTCACCACCCAACAAGTGTGCCGGGAAACTTAAGGCCCGCTCTGGAGACGGGTCAAGATGGGCGGCCGCGTTAGCCGGTCCGTCGCAGGAGAAAAGCGCGAGAGTCCAGCCAGCAGCACCTTCGGAGACTCACCAAACGCGTGTCAGGGGATGCGCTTTCCTGAGTCCCCGCTCGCTTCTTCAGATCGCCGCGTCTTCAGATGCAGTGACTCAGGGAAGCTCCACCGCCAGCCGTGAAGGTGCTGCTGGACTCCTGCTCTTTCCCCCTGCTGAAGCCTCGCGGAAAAGGCTGCTGTTTCGGGGCCCCGAGTCCCTCGATGGTCGGTGGGGCGCCCCCCTCCCCTCTGTAGAGGGGCTTCTTCCGAGCGGCGTCCGTGGCAGGAAGGCGTCCACAGCCTCCTCCTTCGGGCTTATTCACATGCTCATCTTCTGACATTGTATATGCCATTAAATGCCAACAGTGCCCTTCGGTTCTCCACATAGGGCAAGCAGGTCAAACCCTATACCCGCGGCAGGTCATAATGCGGACTTTCTCGCGAGAGGCCCTGCAGCACTACATCCCGGTCATCCAGGAGGAGGTGAGCGCTTGCCTCCGGCAGTGGCTGGCCGGGAGCGGCGAGGGCGAGGCGGGCCTGCTGGTCTACCTGGAGGTGAAGCGCCTCATGTTCCGCATCGCCATGCGCATCCTGCTGGGGTTCCGGCCCAGCCAGACCGGGCCCGACAGCGAGCAGCACCTGGTGGAGGCCTTCGAGGAGATGATCCGCAACCTCTTCTCGCTGCCCATCGATGTGCCCTTCAGCGGCCTCTACAAGGTGAGGCAAAGGAGCTGCCCACGCCTCCCATCCCGGAGGGAGGGAGGGGAGGGAAGGGAGGGCGGGTGGAGGCGATGATCTGGCCGGCGGGCTGACCCGGTGGTGGCTGCGCTCTGCCCGCAGGGCTTGAGGGCGAGGAACATCATCCACGCCAAGATCGAGGAGAATATCCGGGCCAAGCTGGCCGGGAAGAAGGAGCCCACCGACGGCTACAAGGACGCACTGCAGCTGCTGATGGAGCACACGCAGAGCAACGGGGAACAGCTCAACATGCAGGTGAGGCCCCCCCTCCCCCCATGCCTGGCGGCTTCCCAGCCAGAGGGTCTGCCCACTTCTTCCAAGCCGGCCAGGCTTTTCATTTTAGTTGGTTTGGAGGCGCTGGAAGCCCCTTGGGGAACCGTCTCCCTCCCCAAATAAAATCTAGCTACTTTGGAATTGGTGGGGGGGGCACTTAGAGTAACACCTGCTAGAGCAGACATGTACCCACCACGGCCTTGCTGTAAGTCCCTGGGAGGAGATCTGCAGAATGTCAGGACGCTTGTATTGGCCCCCTGCCCTCAGCTAGTTAAACTCTCTTGTGGGTGTGGGTGTCTTTCCATGATGGGGATTTCCCTGTGTAGCAGGGCCCGGGTGTTTGTTTTTTGTTCCTGATGGGACAGGCAGAAATGTTAACTGGTGGCACTTTCCCTTTTGAATCTCAATGACCTGATGAGTGTCTGCTGTCATGTAGCTTTGGAAGGCACCAGCGCCCTGCCCAGTGCTTTCAAGTTCCAGATTAACAGACTGTAGTAGACATGGGTGGGTAGACAGGGGAAGGCAGGCAGCTTCAGAATTCCACTGTTGCTAGCCAAGTAGGCAGGCTTGTAGACCCAGCAGCCAACCAAAGTATTCCTACCTTGACACTTCCTGTATACTTTTAGCAAGCAATGTTGTATGCTGCTTTTGACTCCTAGCTGTCCTTGTTCCTATAAGATCAGTCCGACCGGCTCTGTTTTTGAGTTTCTTATTTACAGGTCGTGTTTTCTCACTGTGTGTCTGGGGGTTTTTTGGCTGGCAAGCAAATAATCCAAATAGATTAACTGGCTTCCAAGGCTTGCAAATTGCCTCCCTGTTAGGCAGGCGGAGATCCTCTCTAATGCTGTTTGTGAGATATACCTTTTCTTTGAGTGATGGGGAGAGAAGGAAAAGAGCAAAACTGCAAATGGAAGCCAATCTTAGGGCGGAGGCCAAATACATTTTCAGTAGTTCTTGGGCAGGATGGCGTAAGGGTCTTGGGTCCTGGCCCCAGTGTTTCCTAAAGGTGGGAAGCTCACCTCTGTGCTGCGTTGTAACGGACCCTACCCACTAGGCATGCTGTGCCTGAATGATCGCCATTCTTTTACTCCCTGCCTGTAATCTACGGATCTAGCCACGGCTTCCCTACAGTCTGAGCCTTCAGCCCTTTCCTCTCCTACCCACCATCCCATTTGTTTAAAAAAAGTTGGCCAGTTCTCCTCTGTATTTGATTCAGAGGGGACTGACATCATCTGGGCTGTCATTCGATTGACGAAATCTTCCTTGGCTGATTATGTTGATTTGGATCACAGTCTTAACTGATGTTGGGGCTTCACTGAGTTAGGCTGCAATCTTTGGCAGCCTTAGAGTAAAACCAGTGGCAACAAAGGGGGGAGTGACTTCTGAGTACAAATGCTCAAGATCAAACGGGACTCTGCACCTGAAGGAAACAATAGTTTTGAAGGCAGCGGTGTGTGTGTGGGGGTCTATTCTTGTTGTTAGGTGCCACACCCGTGCATTTTGGCAGGTCGCAGCTCAAAGCAACCATTCTTTCCTGGGTGAGAGAGGAGGGTGCCGCCACTCAGACGATGCCAGCCACAAACTTTACTTTTTAAAAATTATTATTTTCTCACACACATAAAAGGAGGGATTCAAAAGGGAAGAAAGGGTAGGGGGGAAATATAAATTAATCAGGTTTGTCAAATATTATGAGTTGTTACATACAACAAGTAAAATCAGATGTATTACCAAATGTATTACGTATAGAAGCAGACAATAAAACATCAGTATTACAGAATTTTAGGATAGATTCTCTCTTTAAAGAACAAACAGGGACTTTGCTAAGGTTGACAATAATCTATTAACGATAAAAGAGATTACATCTTTAACGGCTGAACGAACTTCTATGCTAAAATTAAATTGTAATAAAAACCTGCGGCCACAAATTTTTCTTTTTCATTGTGTAAAATTAACTTTCAAACAATCCTATCTCTGATCTAATGAGATGCCTTTAACACCAGTGTCCAGCTAATTGTCACCTCTCTAAAAAGAGTCTGCATCTTTACATCAGGAGGACAGGCGTGACCTGAGTGCAGAGGGAAAAGCGGGTTGATTCCCTCGTCCTCCCCTTGGCTGGATCTTCTCTGGACAAGCGGAGGTGGGGTAAAGCTGGTGTCAGATAGCGAGAGGCAATTTGTACAGCTGAACAGCTCTCCCCTTTTTTACTCCCCCATTTAGAAAATAGGACGTGAGGGAGAGGGCTAGTTTAAAATCCTAATCTCAGACAATTTCTTAAACACGGTATTTCCACCCCACTTTGTGGAGTAATATCCTCTCCCACCCACTTCTAGTTCAGCCTAGATACACACTTCCTATCTTGAATGAGGTCAGTGATGCCTTTGTGTCCCAATCCAGGCTATTGTTTTGACTTATCAGGCTGTGCAATAGCCCTGTGTGACTACTTAGCCACCCACCCAGCTTCCTACCTGCCTGGGCTTTGGTAATGGAGGGATTTTTTTAAGACCAAGGGCTGGAAAGAACGCTGTCCAGTTGAAGTGCTAGAGTAGGATCGTTCCATCTCCCAGTTTTGCCCTGCTTAATACTATTGCGGTATTTTCAGTGTAACAGGAACCTTTCTGATATCTATTTCCCATGGGTTAATGACCACTGACGCTTAACCAAGGGTAGTTTAGTATTCATGTTTGTTTTGGTTACCAGTACAGATCTGTCCGCAGTTTCCAGGTTTCCACAGGAATAGCTACCCAGCTGACAAAGGGAGACCTTCTATAATTCAGTAATTGAATAGAAGAGGAGATTTGGGGCATCTTCTCAAAAAGTCATAAGGAAATCGGCATGCGCTGAAAACCTTTGTGTTACATAAAACTAAAGATGTAGACACTCCATCAGTCTTTGCAGCTACTTACTCTTAATTGCACCGACAGCACCAAATGGGCCAAATTATTCTAGAACTAGAATTCTAGGTAACTTTCATAGTCCAAAACAGAAATAGCTGGGTAGGATTTATAATTCTAGGTAACTTTCATACTCCAAAACAGAAATAGCTGGGTAGGATTTCCTTTTCAAACCCAGCAATGTTAAGATTTCCTTACCCTCATTCCAAGCTAAGATGTTTAATTCTGCAAGAAGTATGATGCAGAAACTAGAATGAAAGGTGGTGGTGGTGGGAACTCTGTATGACAGAATCAGTTAACACTTAGTTTTTCATAGGACTAAACTCCCCACTCAAGCAGGATGTAAAGCCTAGGTATTCTTCAGGCTCCCTAGTGCAGCCTATACTCTACCACACTGAGTTTAATCATATCATCTTCAGGGCTAGAAAGTGGTGACCGCAGCCTCTACCACCCTAGTGCAGTCTCTACCACACTGAGTTTAATCAAATCATCTTCAGGGCTAGAAAGTGGTGACCCTTAGCATGGCGAAAGGGCTAAATCTGGAATGGAGGATTCTGTGTGTTTCTGCCTAAGTCTGCCTTTAAACCTGCAGTTTAGGTATCAATAAATGTGAAGATTCCCGTGTACTGTAGTAATAATAATGAGATACGGAATGTTCCATCTGCCCTTATTTGAAGGCTGATTGATAGCTGTTTAGGCTGACTGTATGTGGGGGAGTTACTTTCACATGTATGAAGGCAAGCAGTCATATATAGGAATGGGGTTTAGATGGCTGAGCATCACAGGGGAAGGTTTTGGCTGTTGGCACAAAAATTAGCAAATCCCCCCAGTGTCTGCTGGGTGATGAGTTTGTCCCTTCAACCTGTTTGAATTTGCCCTGGAAAAAGAACTGATGTGTCAAGGCCAGGGTAACTTTTGTCTTCCTCTGACAGGAGCTCAAAGAATCTGCAACAGAGCTGCTCTTTGGAGGGCACGAAACCACGGCCAGTGCTGCTACGTCCCTCATCACCTTCTTGGGCCTTCATCCTTGCGTTCTGCAAAAAGTGAGAGAGGAACTGCAAGCCAAGGTGGGTGTGCTGTCTCTGAATGCCAGAAGACCAATCAGGCTGGAACCAGAGGGGGGGGGGTCTGAGGAATGCCCTATGAGGGATTCTTAGCCTGGAGAAGAGGAACACAATCCCAGCCTTCAGAGACCTAAAGATTTTCACAGGGAGGAGTCTGTTTTCTGCACTGTTCCAGAGCATGAAAAGATCTAATGGCTTTCAGTGGGTGTTGGGAAGTGCCATAAAGTCACAGCTGACTTATGGTGACCCCGTAGGGTTTTCAAGGCAAGAGACATTCGGAGCTCGTTGGCCATTGCCTGCCTCTGCATCACAACCCTGGTATTCCTTGGAGGTCTCCCACCAAAATACCAGCCAGGGCTGACCAGGCTTAGCTTCTGAGATCTGATGAGATCAAGCTAGCCTACTCTTAGAGGATATGGTATATTTAAGATGAATATTAGGAGGAATGTGCTGGCATTGAGAGCATTTCGATAATACAGCCATGCTCAAATATTGTGACCATCGGCTATGGGTACCTACTCTTAACTGTCCAAAGCATATAAGGTCCCATTTGCAAATCATTATTCCAACATGGTTGCTGGCACTTTCGTGCTTGCTCTCAGAAAGCACATATCAAGAAGCGTTGCAGCAGTTAGTTTTAACTTTTTGATTAAATAGTTGCTTGGGGTTAACCAGCCATCATACTTTATTTCCTAGTCTAATTTTTTTTAAAGATAGGGGGCCTTAGAATCCATCTTAGAAGAGGTATCCTGATTTTTGCATTCAGTGCACATCATCTCAGAAGAGGCATTCCTTCCTATAACACCTAGAAACAAAATGATTGAGCTGATCACAAGGTTGAATCAGGGCCGGCTCGCTCACTAGGCAAACTAGGTGGCAGCAGCAACACCCGAGGGAGGGCGGTAGCCCTTACCTGCACGGGGGAGGAGGGGGTGGCGCACGGGGTGTGTGTGCCAGAAGGGATCCTCGCCTAGGGTGCAAAATAAGCTGGGGCCGGCCCTGGGTTGAATATCTGCATAAATCTGTATGTGCACAAAATCCTTTTTCCTCCCCTTTAAAATCTCAAAGGCAGCAGGGTTGCCAGCTCATGGTCAAGAAATTCCTGGAGATTTGGAGTGGAACCTGGGGAGGCTTGAAAAAAGAAGGGGCCTTGGTGGGTTATAAAATACCACAGAATCCACCCTCCAAGCAGCCATTTTCTCCATACTCTGGAGATCAGTTGTAATTCTAGGAAACCCGCTTGGAGGTTGGCAGCCTTACCAGGAAGTCATGCTGGGGGAGGTGAAGCCAGACGGTCTAAAGAGTTTTGTCCATTTCATTAAAAGTTGGTTCGTTCTGTCTTGCAGCAATTGATAGCAAATGACTACATTGTGACTGAGAGTCTCCTGGCAAGTGAGCGGGTGCTGGAAACACGTTCTAGGGGTGTTCTAGGTTTTATGACTTGTGTTTTTAATTTCCAGGGATTGCTGGGCAACGTAAACCAAGATAAGAATCTGGGAATGGAAGTGTTGGAGCAGCTGAAGTACACGGGCTGCGTCATCAAGGAGACTCTCCGGCTGAGCCCACCAGTTCCAGGAGGATTCCGAGTGGCGCTCAAGACTTTTGAGTTAAATGTAAGAAGGGAGGTTGATTCCAGGCAGCTCCCGTAACAGCCATATCCACGACACATTGCTTGAGAGGAGTCAAACTTATTTCAATGGGGCTTGTTTTTATGGTGCTTACATTGCAGAAATAACTAGACTGACTGTGCTGTAACCCAAATGGATTATGGCTTCTGTCCCCGTCCAAGAGTGCTGATTGCAAGGCAGCATTTAGTATCTCTGCAGCTCTGTGGGGGAAGCCCATATCTGCCCAAGTTCAAGTCCGTCTTTTACAGAAACATTGCTCTCATCAGATGCTATGTTCAGAGCACTTAAAGTGATAGGAGCCCATCACAGAATTAGCAATTATACTAATTCCACTAGTAGAAAACACCGTCAAAGATTGCCAAAACAATATATTAAACAATTATAAAGTTGGTGGTGTCACAACAACAACATTAATGCATACTGTAACTATAATAAGACATAAGACACAATATTTCCTCCTTTGAAGATAAGACATAAAGTCCATATAGTCCGTGTAACTTGATAGGAGGAGTACACATAGTTATAACATTTTCCAAACAGCCTTTGCAAAGACGCCCATTCTAGATACTTGGAAGATGCATTTCCTTCGACTTCTTCAGTTTGCCAGCTGTGTAAGTGGAACCTGATTTCAGCAATTTAACAGACCACAAGGTTCATAGTGCAAGAAGTTACACTGATTACATGGACTTTTTGTCTTATCTTCAAAGGAGGAAATATTGTATCTTATGCCTTATTATAGTTACAGTATGCATTAATGTTGTTGCTGTGACACCACCAACTTTATAATTGTTTAATATATTGTTTTGGCAATTTTTGATGGTGTTTCCTACTAGTAGAATTTGTATATTTGGGACTCCTGTGACACTAGTCTTTTCCCCTTGTTGTTTGGATTGACATCACAAGATTAGGGCCCGGTCTAAGTTTCAGAGCACAATCTCTTTCAGCTTCTTGTAGTAAAGCATCTTTTTGCTTCCCAAACTGGGGAACTGCAGAAGAGAATGGTAGGTTCCTAAAAGGGAAGTAGTGTACAAACCAGTTGCCTTGATTCAAATAAATTTCATGTGCAACTTTAGGACAATGTGTTCGCAGCTGCATGCAGGCATCTGCACAGATGGTAGGTGCTGCTTACCTATGTGTATGTTCGGATAAGCATTCACCTCAACAGGTGACCAGCTAAAAGGTTGCCTGTTTCCAGGCACAGATTATTCTTGGGAGATGGCTTTGACCTGTGGCCATCTGGCCTATAGAAGGAAGCATTGTGTCAATCATGGACAAGGTAAGGTATAAATCCACATGTGGGGAAACCTCTTGTCTGGAACATCCGTCCCATTTGTTGTGAGATGCTGTATCAGTCCTTCAGAACGCTTGTTATCTCTTAACGGTCACAGCCATGATGACCATGGTAAAAGAACCGAGCAAGTAAAATTTTCTTTGTTACTCCTGCATAAGCATTGAAGTAAAGGAGTTGTACCTCCCAGTAGGAAGGAGTAACCATAGATGATGATTATGCCACTGATGGTTTGTTGTATATTTGATGCTAATAACTGCCTTCTGTTGGTAGCATAAATCTCTCTATACATAACACTACGTTGTGCTTAGTTAGTGTCACAAATAGGAGCGAACACTGGCCTGACACCATCTGTGAGAAAACAGTTGAGTCAAATCTGTCTTATGAGATGTTTGGTCACTGTTCTGTCTCCTTTTTTGATAGGGATACCAGATTCCTAAAGGCTGGAATGTTATCTACAGTATCTGTGATACTCATGACGTTGCAGAAATCTTCACCAACAAAGATGAATTCAACCCTGACCGATTTATGTCCCCTTTCCCGGAAGATGCGTCCCGATTCAGTTTCATCCCTTTTGGAGGCGGCTTGAGGAGCTGTGTGGGCAAAGAGTTCGCAAAAATCCTTCTCAAAATCTTCACGGTAGAGCTGGCCCGGAACTGTAACTGGCAACTTTTGAATGGGCCCCCCACAATGAAGACTGGCCCTATTGTGTACCCAGTGGACAATCTGCCTACAAAATTCACAAGATTCAATGGTCAAGTCTAATGAATTTCAGAGTAGTGTGTTGGTTGTCCTAACTTAAATTTTGGTACATTTAAAGTATATGCTACAGCTTTTTTTTTTAGTATTCTAAACTCATTATTATATTTAAATGTATGATAGCTATTTATGTGTTTTCTAAGAATATTTTAAAGCTATTTCATATATTTGAATTGGTTTTTCAAGCAGGCACTATAATTATGGGTCCTCAGGATTCATAATTGGATAATTTTATTTCTATAGAAATAAAGTATCCCACTATTTAAGGATTTTATTCAAAGCTTGTTTACTAAATATATTGAAGGTATTTAAGAACCCGTATGTGTATCCATGGATACACTCAGAAGTAAAAATGCAACGAGTTGTATGTATACTCTGAACCAAAAAGCCACACCATGGCTTATCTCTAAATAAAGATTCTGAGAAACAGGATTTCAGTGCTTGGTGTTCATACTTACAGGAAACTAGAGTTCTCAAAGGAAATGCAAGGACACTCAAGGGCAAGTTAATGATCTGATCCTTAGATTATTTTGACTTGAAAATCCCAGTTATCTGAGGAACTTAGTTTAGTTGCAAAGAGAACTGTGGTAATGGTCTTCTATAGTGGCACGGCCAAATCCCTTAGGATGCACTTAGTTCTCTAGAACGTGGCCTGGAGACCAGACCTACCTGATCACCACCCAGATGCTTCTAATAAAGTTGATATCATCTAATATGGACCAAAGGTGCTCAGAGGGCTTCAGTGCATAGAGGCGGACAGGGAAGGGTGAAGGACTGATAGGCTTCCTGAAAGATCTCCTCAAGAGACAGGTTACTAATGGTGCTTCCCGTTTCCAGAAGGTGTAGGAGACCACACTCATTACCCACGAAGACTTCTTGGACAGTTTTACTCATAAATAAGAAACAAGATTTAGTACACTTTGATTAAATTTTGCAAGGGATTAGCAGGGTGGTTGTTTGGGGGACCAAATCAGTGTTGCAGGTCACCAATTGCCTATCCTTGGCATGCAGGTCGACATCTAAAGGGGAAAATAGGCTTGAGCTGCTGGCTTTTCAGCTTGGCAATGGAGATAAGCACCGCTCCCTGGAGTCGGATTCGACTGGCTTTCGAGCAAGGGAAACCTTTACCTTTTTTGGGGTTGAATAATTCACCGCTGGTCCTTTCCGAATCAAGCTCTTCCAATGAAGAATGTCAAGCCAGGTCCCTGCTGTAATCAAAACATTTGCAAGTGGATAGTCTAAGAGACTAAATTATGGAGACAGACCACATGGGTTTCATTTAAGGGAAGATGACTGGTTCTCTCTCTCCAGCAAGAGTCAAAATTCAGGTTAGTACAAGGGTCAAGATAGCTCACTATTTTTCTGCAACAATAGTGACATAATGTGAGCCACTGAAAGGCGAAACCACATAATTGGGGATTTTTAATATTAGGGAAAAAAGAAAGTAGGGGAACAAAAAACTTAACCCAAAAAATTGAATCAAGAACCAGGAAGATTAAATGAATACAAATCTGAGGGCCAATTCCTAAAATCAATAAATGTGAAACATAAACACATAAATAGTAAAAAAATGATCAAAAATGCATGTATTTATTACAAGATAATTTAAAAACAGTTATGGGCCCAACCAGAGCCTCAATACAAGATAAAATTGTACAATGTACACAAATGAAACCTAGTGCAACCCAACATGTTTCGGCCTAACTGGCCTTCTTCAGTGGGCAATCATAGACAATACACTTAGGCACAATACTGCAATAATAATCTAAATAGTTAATGTAGGACCAATGTAGAGTGTGAGTTATAATCAATGATGTAAGGCAAAGAAGTATTATGGAGACCTCATATGATATCGCCTTGTGCCATAGTCAGGTGCATATAACCCAGGTGATGTTTCCATGATATGCCTTCCTATTTTGGTCCAGTCTCAAGAACAATTCAGAGCCAATGTACCATAATGGATTGTAGTAATTTAAGAGAAGTTGATTGGTTCTCTCTCCAGCAGGAGTCAAAATTCAGTGTAGTACAAGGGTCAAGATAGCTCACTATTTTCTGCAACCATAGTGACAGAGTGTGAGCCACTGAAAGGCTAAAACACATAATTGGGGTTTTTTTAATATTAAGCATCTGATTGAGTGAGTCCATGGACTTTTATGCTATAACAAATAAACATGTCAGTCAATCTTAAATGCTACAAAACTCCTCCCCCACCTTTACAGCTGCTCAATGCAACTGCAGGAGACTGCTTGGCAGGGTTAACTAATGTGGACTGTACCATTGCATTCTAGCTGAGCACAGAATGAACCTCAGGCTGTGTTTTCACATGTACCAGGAAGAGCATGTATTCTAACTTTCAAGGGGTAGTGACAGGTCAGGGCAAAAGGAAACACACAAGACTGGGGAGTGAATCCTCACTGCCTGGGGCAATGAGCTGCCACCAGCCCCGCCAGCTAAGTTTCCAGCTGAGAGACCGAGGGACCAGATCTCTAGCCCTTCTGGGTATGAATCAAGAGTCATCCCTGCAAGGTAGGACACTTGCAAGCTGAGTTCCAAAACAATTACTTGGGTAGCTGTAGCCAAAACAGGCCAATATTTAGATTGAAGCCCCCAAAACCAAACATCACAGAAGTATAATTAATAAGGTCTGTTAAAAGAAATGTGCAAAAGTGTACAAATATAAGAGCAATGCAAAGCCAGGAAGAAAATAATAACATCTAAATAGCTAACCCAAGATTAAGGCTTTTTGGTCCCAGATGTTACGTTACTAGTCTGAGACACAAGAGTCCAGGAAAAGTTTCAAAGTCTGAAATCCGAGAGGTATTCCAGCCATGCGAAGCCCAGCCTAGTCAAAAGCATGACCCAAAGGTACAAACTAGAATTAATGATCTTCCTTTAGCCAGACTGACACAGCTGGCTTGATCCTGTTTGGCCAACCAGGTGTGTTGCTAAGACATGTGACTATGTCCTCTTGCAGCCAGTACGTGCTCAAAGTTAAGCAAGCACTCACCCCTGCCCAGTGTTCCTTGGGCTAATGAAGTGGAATGGGAGTGCAAGATTCCCTCTTGGTCTCTGGCCTTGAAGCTCCCATGATCCCATTTGCGCCTGTGTCCATTCAACTCTTATCGTGCTGTCTCTGAAATCGCAAGCCATCATGATATAGTTTCCCAGAGAGGGCCTTCTGTAACTTACTAGGCCCTAAAGCCTGAACCAAAGATTTTGAAAGGCCAAGAAACAGAGAAAGGTCAGTTTCTTGACACTATCAACTCATCTTGTATTTCCAATTAAACTGTTAGCAGGTCTGCAATGGCCTGTGTAGTAAATGGAAGCATTCACACAACCCCATCAGCATATCTTTAGCACTGTAAAAAAACACCAGAAAAGACCACCATGTACTCACCGTGCTGATGTGCTCCCATGAATTAGTATTACACACATTTTTCTGTTGCTAGTTGAAACAATCATGGTCTGAAACAAAAAACTAAGATGGTTTTTGAGAGCAGCGTGTACTGGAAGAAACACATAACATACTTGCAAGTTAGTTCCTTGTATCTTAGCAGAGCTTTAATCTAATTTGTCCTAATTTACCCTCCATGATACTATAGCATCGCCTTCCCTCCCACCCAGTTTGCTGATGTAACTGAATACCTATCGCAGACACATTTCTAATATAGTGCCACAAGTGTGATCAAGATGGATCAAATGGCCCAGGAATGACCCCCATGAACCTTGGCTAACCTTCACAGCTTAAGTTTGGTCACATTTCTGCACTGATGATGGTCGTGGCTTTCACTACGCACCAAAACATTAACCAAGGTAATTCAGTTATGTCAACAGTAAGAAGCACAAAGTTTCTCACCATACATCACTCCCACTGCACAAATAAAGTACACTGTTGAACTGCTGGGTCCCTCTGGAGAACTCAATGGATGTGACGCCCTTTATTTACTTTTCTGAGAAAAATGAAGATTTTCACTTGTTCATACAGCTGCACACAGTGTGCATTACTTTGCTATCGATTTCAAGAGAGTTTGGGTTTTACTTGGAGTTACAAAAGACTGATAGAAATGCATATTCTTTGCTACCTGGTCATAAGCATATTCAAGCATAAGTAACAATCCTTGCCCATTGTAGTACATTTTACAATGGAATTTAAAGCTATGACTTGGGTGTCTGTTTATCCTTCCATTTAAAATATCTTTTATGATATTAAAACTGTGTCATGCATCATAAGTGTTTCCTCCTGCTTTCAAAACTGAAATATTAACAAATTTTTGGAGGGGGGTGTTAAACCCCTCCAAAGTTATAGAAGTAGTGCCTGTAGCTTTACGAAACAAAATCCTTCAGTGGCCATTGCTGGACAATCACAACAGTATTCAAGCCTTGGTTTCTCTTTGTCGAGGGCTTTTTTGACCTTTGAGGGAGAACGCATCAGTGCCAGGCCCACCTGACTTGCATGCCTCACTCTGGCCCGGCTGTTCACTATGATTTGACACTAGCCTCCACACAAAGACCAGAGTGGTGTAGTGGTTAGAGTTTCAGAATTGCATCTGGGAGAATCAGGTTTGAATCTTCATTCTGTCATGGACTCTCACTGGGCGACCAGTGGTGTAGTGGTTAAGACCGATGGACTCTAATCTGGAAAACCAGGTTCGATCACACACTCCTCCACAAGAAACCAGCTGGGTGACCTTGGGTCAGTCACAGCTCTTTCAGCCCCAAAATGTCTATCTTATCACTTTAGTGGGGCATAACACTAAAGGGCTAGAACTTAAGGCTGCCAGACAATCTTTGGAACTCCTGGCTATACTACACATATTGCCATATGATAATTAATTAATTGACTGGGTGACCGTGGGCCAGTCACAAACCATCAGCCTAACCTACCTCACAGGGTTGTTGTTGGCGTAAAATGGAGAAGAGGAGAACAATGTAAGCTGCTTTGGGTCCTCAGTGGGGAGAAAGGGGTGTATAAATGAAGTAGATGAATATCAATATCACAAAGATGG